CCGCCCCGCCCCGCAACCGCGCCGGCACGCGCCCCCCACCCCCACGCACACAACCACACCGGCACTCACACCCCACACCCACACCCACAACCACACCGGCACTCACACCCCACACCCACACCGACACTCTCACTCCACACCTACCCACACCCACACCCACACCCACACCCACACCACACACACCCACACCCACCCACACACACCCACACCCTGTGAGACTTTTTTCATCTCATAATAAATTGTCTATAATAAACTAGTCGATTTTTTGAAAATTTGAAAGAAATACATACGAATTCATTTAAATTTTGTTCGCTTATTAGCATCCGTGAGTGTACATAGGAAAGACAAAGTCAAGAGTAGTCTAATTTTTCTAGGATACAGTTTATTATAATGTTCATTTGATTTACATATCTGCGAAAAGTCATTTCAATAGAGATAATATTGAAAAATCTCATGAAAAAAATATTTTTAGTAAAATTTACTAGAGTTTTATTCGAATTTGTCAAGACAAATAATAAAAGATTGAAACAATTTAGCAATAGCTGATGATATGAAAATTCTTAGATTTTTCTCCAAACTTAAGAAATCAATCTTTCTCATAAAATGTTATGTGTATCTTCTGAAGAGATAATATTTTTTTCATCCTCTTTTCTCAATATTCAGATTTATAAAAAATGACAGCACACAAATAAATATCATGAACTATTACATCTTTAGAAAAACTATGCTAAAGACCAGTATCAATCTATTTCATTTATCAGAATTTTAAAAAACTACTTACCTAGGTATTAATATGATCGATGTCAAACATGATCTTCTCTTGCTGCGAAATATTGACGAATTCTCTTTCCAATTCTTATCAATAGAAAGAGAAATAATAGCCTATCATTTTCTATTTACTTTTGGGTGTTGGAAAATTTATATTTAACGGCTGGTGACATAGTTGGTCACTGATATGTGAATCGAATGATAGTTATATGAGAGTATTTATTTATTGTTTATCAATGCTAACATTTTCATCTGTAACCGATATTCAAACGGCTTTTGTATGAATATTCACTAGAGATAAATATACAATCCAATCAATCAACAATATTCCATACTTATCTCAATCATTGTGTGCACTTTGTGATCCACGATACAGTCGAATTATCAGTACAACTGTCTATGAATATATTTTTCAACCTTTCAATTCATTTATATTTTCTCGATCAATCGTTGCCTTACTGGTATTCATTGTCAGTTGTCTCTTTCATGTGCACATTGTTGTTCTTGAGTGTGGGTATGGCGTGGATGTATGGACTTTTGTGGCACGAACACTCACACCGACACAAGGGGAAAATACAAGCACTCAGCGCCTACCAGCATCTAAACCGCATTTCACTATGAGCACCTACGGCACCTTCAACTACTCTTCCATTATCTTAAGTGCTTTTTCAGCACCTTGTGATAAAATTTAGTGTTTAGGCGCTGTCCTTTAAATTTTATTACAAGGTGCTGAAAAAGGACTTAAGATAATGGGAGAGTGGTTGAAGGTGCCGTAGATGCTCATAGTGAAATGCGGTATATGTGCTGGTAGGTGCTGAGCAGGTGCTGGGTGCCTGAACTTTCTTCCTTGCACACACACGCCATCCACATCCACATCCACACGCCACCCACACCCACTCACACACAAGATGTAGCACACAAAAACAAGCAAAGAGACATGAGTCAACCTGGAGCGCCGAAAAACAGTTCGCGGAGCTTCCCAGTGACTCAAAATCACCAGTTTACGATAGACAAAAAACGAACTAGACTTCTGTATTGATACATATACCGGATGATCCAGAAGTTTTGCAACATTTTGTCTTTTGCATATATCTCAGTACAGACAAAAGATAGTCTTGAATTTAATTTTGAAAGATGTGCTTTTTAATTCCCTACAAACTGGTATTTAGCTTAATTTAAAATAATAGAAATGAATGTTTTTTATGGGTCAATTAGTGTGATGGTATGATTTGCATCAACTTCCCGCACCATTTCTAATGACACATTTTCTAACTTTCTCATGTTATAAACAGATGCCTAAAGAATCTAATTATTAACAATGCTATCACATATCAATGCTTTTTTTAGAGTAATTCATCTGCGTTCGATTAGAATCTATTTTGGGCCTAAAAAAAATAGTTTGCCAGATATGCTACTGCAAAAGTAGCATTCTTGACAACTTCCAGTTTCTTCTTTCAATTGACTTGTTTTACTGACCGTTTTTCTAACTTCAAGTAGAAAGAGAAGTCCGTTTGTGACAGAGCTTTATAAAAGCGAGCTCGGTTTGATCACAGGACGCGTCTTTTCAGACGTTTTTCTAGCAAGGAAGTGTGGATAGGGAATTTGACGATTCACAAAATATTGCTTTGAGAAAAATTCTGTCTAATAGAAAGAATGAATGTTAAATCTGTACGCAATCGGCTGAAGATTCCAAGAGCTATCTGACAATAACTTATGTCTAGAACAAAACACTCGTTCGTACAGACAAAAATAATTTAATAAAAGAATGGATGGGAACTAAATATAATTCATACCATCACACTATTTGACCCATAAAAACATTCAGTTCTATTATTTTAAATTAAGCTAAATACCAGTTTGTAGAGAATTGAAACACACATCTTTCAAAATTAAATTCAACATTTTATCTTTTGTCTGTACTGAGATATATGCAAAAGACAAAATGTTGCAAAACTTCTGGATCACCCGGTAATTCTGTTGAATTCATCTCTGATATAAAATAATGCTTCATCTCCAACAAACTTTGTCTATGAAATCCAAACATGATGATCAACGTAATTTGAGACGCATATTGTGAATCATTCTTATCATCTTTGACTTCCAACCTCATTTTTAGCCTGGAAAATATTACAGAGATAGTACTGCTGCCTAGATGACACATAGAATTTGATGTTAGAGTTGATCTTGCAAAATAATATTTACACACCGTATGTGATGATTCAATATTCATACTCATCTGATAAGTAGTCATGAAAATAGATAAGAAATTTTCATATCAGTCCATGTTGCAATTCAGCATTACTCATTCTAGCAAGCTTTCAGCAACCAAACTCATGGAACAAAGTGAGAAAAGACCGAAAGTCCATTGGTTAATTCTTTCACAGCGTCATCAAAACAAGTATTTTGAAATGGCTCATTCATATATATATATATATATACTGCACCTTTACCAGTAGATAAACCAAAAATCGAGATTATTATTCAACTGAAATATTAAATATACATCATGTGGTTTTCCCTTCTTTCTTTTGTCATTTTATCAGTGAATCTTGTACAGCACCTTAGTGCTATCAGCAGTCCAATTCCACCATATACCAATTACACTTATGCCACGGAACTGCTACCTGATCTTGCCGATCTTTGGTGGTCGATCGATGATCTTCGAAAGGAAATCACTTTTGAATTTCACATCAAAACAACTGGCTGGATTGCACTTGGCATCAGCCCCGGTATAATCACTTTCATTTTCATTCTAATCTCTCTCATCTCTCATACATAGCTGGTGGTATGATTGGTGCTGATATCGGTTTGGGATGGATCGATCAATCAGGTCAACTGCATTTTGAAGTATATATTCTTCTTCTTTCATTCTCTCATTTATCATTTGATCAATAGGATCGATATGCATACGGATTTTACCAGCCAATGGTAGATAATACAACACAAGATTGGTTCGGATTGCAAGGTCACGAAGTGAACGGATGGACAGCCATTCAGTTCAAACGACTGTTAGACACTTGTGATATCATGGACTATCCCATTAAAGTATGCTTCTGTTAGTACGTGTCGAAAATAAAATTTTGTTACATAGTCCGGAACCAACATTCTGATCTATGCCTACAGTCTCGAAGATCCTGTTATAATTGATGGAAAAGCGACTATTAAATATCATGGCGATCGTCGATATACTCGAGCAATTCCACTGCAATCATATGCAAATCCACCACCAGAGAGCAAATTTGCTGACCTCGACTATTTTGATTTTCAATTGCACAATGTAAATCATATAGTTTGTACTGAGGACGATTGTAACAATGTTCTGCATTGATGTTTTTCAGTATTCAGTACCATCGAATGAGACGACCTATCACTGTACGGTCTACAAAGTACCGGCTAAGTTTCCTAAACGAAGGCATGCCATTGCTGTGAGAAAGATCGATTCTTTTATCTCACTCGATGCCTAAACTACGTTGTGTTTTAGCATAAAGCTATCATTGATCCAGCCAATATCGATATTGTTCATCATATGTTGATGTATGAATGCAATCCATCAGCTATCTTCGATGATGAAAATTTGCCTTCTGGTATATGTGACGATCTTGGCGAAGTTCTTATACCTTGCACATCCAATATCGCCACTGGATGGGCTGTTGGTGGAGATTATGTTAGTTTCGAATCGAAAGAAAAAATTTCTTAGGGAAACAAAGAATCCTTTTTTCGATAATAGATCAATGAGTTTCCTGACGTAGCTGGATATCCTGTTGGAGGTGATTTTGAAATCAAATATTATGTGGTTCAAATGCACTATAATAATATACATCAAATGTCAAGTAAGACAATGGATCTGATTGAGATTGAAAAAATGCGATCGTTTAATGAATTAGATCGTACGGATAGTTCTGGTATATGATTCTATCTGGGCAATGAACTTCGTCAATATGACATCGGTTATCTGACAGTGGGTCAAGATTCAGATGCCACTGCTATTGCCATTCCACCCTATGATGATCGTTTAGTCATCGATTCTTATTGTCCTGCTCTGGTCACTCAAGTGAGTAATTTATGATTTTATTCAGCTCAATTTGATCCCTTCTATCGCTAGAATATTCCACCGACGGGCATTACTGTGGTTGCAGCATTTCCACATACTCATCTTCAAGGTACTTAACGGCCCAGGTCGAGCAATCAGATAGTAAGATCTGACAAGATCTTGGATCTGATCTTATATGATCCTGTACGGTCATACGAAAATCATACAAAAAATCGTAGTTCCTGCGATCTTAGATCAATTCGCACAATCAGATTCTTAAAAGATCTTATTAATGTGTAAGATCTTTCAAGAATCTGATTGTACGAATTGATCTAAGATCGCAGGAACTACGATTTTTTGTATGATTCTTGTAAGATTTCGTCCATATTTCAAGATCTTGTATGTACTTCATCAGATCCTGTGTCAGATTTTTCGACCTGGGGGGTTATTCTTTTTACGAGAGGCAATATTTTCGTTTCTAGGTTGCAGTGTCTGGACAAAGATCATTCGAAATAAAAAAGCAGTTCAATATCTCTTCAATGGTGATGCCTATACTTTCAATTATCAATTTCAGAATCGTTTACCTCAACCGATTACATTATATCCGGTTTGTATTATTCAATCTTGTCTTTGTTGTTCAACAATGAAGATAATTCTAGGGTGATGAATTAGCAACACGATGTATCTACAGTACAACCAATAAGAGTGTTGTCACTTTGGTGAGTAGTCGTTCATGAAATTTGCAAAAACTAATCACAGTAATAATCTAGGGTGGGGAAGCAACGAGAAACGAAATGTGTTTACACATGTTTACTTACTATCCGCGTATGAATAATTTACACCTTTGTTCGATGACCAATTCGAAGGAAGCATGGGCACAAGTGACAAATAATTCAATGTTAGTGAAGCTTTCATTTATCTGTCTGCATGATATGTTTCTGTTTTCATAGACCTTTGGATTACCAAAGCATTGTCCAATGGTTAACAAATCGTCAATGGACAACACAATCCATTGCTGATTGGCAAACTTTCTACAATTCGACTTCGAAAACTCTTTTTTATGATAATGGTGATAACATAATCTTGGTTGATCTTCCAAAACTACCGGCCTATCAAGATTTTGAACCATATCAGTGTAAAAAGAACATCACTGATGTTGGTATAGTTTCGAGGCCGTCCAAACTTCGCTCACTGCTCAAAATAATGAAAATGACTTCATGATTTGAATAAAACAAGAATATCTGTCGAAAATAATTCTGTTTTTCTATTTGTATTTCTGTCCAACGAGCAGGGGAGAGGGCAGCAATCGATCTGCAACGAAAAACATCGTATGTGAGGTCGTAAAATCACTTTCCGACGATCACAGTGAACCATGATGATCTACTAAATGTATCCACAAGAGAAGTCCATACAGGCATTGATGTCATCGAGAGTAAATCACGACCATTATAAAAGGATCGATACGATCTCATCATTTCAAAACTGTAAAGAGAACGGTGTGAACTTGGGATGTGGTTGTGGGTGTGAGACGAACACTACTTCCTGCATCCATACCTACCCTACTTTTATGAAACTTACACAAACAAAATATCACGCAAAATTATCAGATGCTAATGCCATCTTGCGAACCAAATTTCACTCATATACAATAATCATCAAAAATTTAAAACTACTCCATCTCTTTTAACTGCAATTATCTATACATCAAGATGTAGAAAAAAAAACATTTCTATATCTGTCATCTGTCAATTTAGAAAAACGAACATTTCAAATTGAAAATGATAGGATTTTATTGCTATTTTCAAATAAGAAAGAAACCATGAGAAAAAAAGCATATTATGACCTCAATTGAAAACTTTAGTTCTCCATCAACTCATCTTTGAAACCGATCTTCACTGTGTTTTTTTTTCTTGGTTATTTCGTCTTATCAATTCGTTCAAGCGAGTTTTGAGATTGAGGTTGTGGCTGTAGATGTAAGTTCATCTTATCTTAGCCTATACTCACACCCACTTAATGGAGTTTTATTTAACTGCTGAGTATCAATGTATACAAGCATAGTAATTTGATTTTGGTATGACTGTGATACAAACTTTTTTCTTTCTGATTCACGCCGTTGGCTATCGTTCTTTATTAGTGTCGTGTTTTATTTTTCTAAGTGTGAGTGTCGGTATGTTCACTTGATATCTACATAAACATCCTTGTTGCTCAATGAATGTCACTGATTTAAATGATACTTTTACAATAAGTATAACCAATAAACTTGGGAAAAAACTTGAAATTTGAACTCAAATGGATACACTATTTTAAACATTATAGGCACTTTTTATGTGAAGAAGAATTTTACAACACTTTTCTCCAAATTCTTATTTTTTTCAACAACCATCAGAGTTGAAACAAATTTCTTTCACCATGGATGCTATCAATCATGGCCTATATTTTGATGAGGAAGTCTATTATTTTGTGAGGCTTCAAGGATTATTCGAAATCAAATGATTATTAAAGAGATATAATATGGTAAATGTCGTTCATTACTAAAAGAAATGCGAGTTAGATGAGTGACTACGTGATTAACATTAACTATAGAATTTTTGATGCATCAGCTATTTATATTAAAAATTTTGATTTAAAAATAGTTCTTCAATAGAATTTTCTCTAGAAAATACCTAAAGAATGAATTTCTTGCTTTTTGAAGAGATATAGCGAAGAGAATCTCACTGTTTCGATATAAGGTGATGTGGAACTTTGTTTCACAAGCAATTGAAAAAGGAATATCTTCTTAACTCTATTGAGATGTTACAGATATGCGAGCTATTCAACAAAAAAGTAACATTTCAGTCGTCTCAGTGAATGTACCAACGCTAAAAGTTTTAAGATTTTCCACCAAGAATATAAATTTTTTTGGAGAGCGATGTCTGAAAAAAAAATATGGATCTATAATACCGTCACCATAGCAAAAAGAAGAAAACTTAGGGATAAGCGAAGGTTTTTAATGAAACGAATGCTAAATTTCGTTGATCTTATGTTTTTATTTCTCATTCGACGATTCTTCAGTTTCACCAGAATTACATTTTTTGTTTTCACTTGTAATTTGAACTGGATCGGATATTACACCTTTCGAATTATCTGTGTTGTCTCCTGAACTGGACGAGGGTGTGGGTGTGTGTGGGGTGTGGGTGTGGGTGGGTGGGTGTGGGTGTGGGTGTGGGTGGGTGTCGGTGTGGGTATGGGTGTGGGTGTGCGGGTGTGGTAGGTGTGAAGGTGTGTGTGGGTGTGTGGGTGTGTGGGTGTGGATGTGGGGGTGGGGAGGGGTGTGGGGGTGGGTGGGGGGGTGCGGGTGTGGTGGGGGCGGCGGTGTGTGAGCGCCNGCTGGTATCAATGTCAAAGCCAAAAAAGAAATCTAACAACTAAAATAACTTCATTTTTCTTTCTTTCAAAATGCACACAAAAATAAAAGTCTTTTATTAAAAGACATTTCGAATCAAACCTACATGTTCTATATATTTTTTTATTTAAATAAATTAATAGTAGAGCAATTAGTAACATTCTTATTAAACCCATTGATCAAACAATTGTAATATCTTCTTAGCATAGATTAATAACAGATTATGTGAGTGAAACACATGATAATCATATAATTTATCTGATATCAGTTTTTAAAATATGCCAATTCATATTAAAAAAAAGAAAACTATCAAATAATCGTTTAAGTGACCCAACATTTGCATAGAACATTGATCGTTTTTCATACGAATCTTCCAACAATCCATATACAGTTGTATTTGAAGATGCACCAAAAAAAAAATGAAGTTCGAAAACAAGAAATCAACGCCAAAGCATCGATTAATTCAAAGACTAGTGAATATAGTTGCTAATACAATGAGATAGTAACTCTATTTAAGGATTTCTATGCTATATTATAAAATTAGAGACGATTAAATTTATTCTTTTTGATCACTCCTATATTACAATAATTTTTTAAAATGACTATCTTATAAATAGTATGTCCTTCATACTATATGTTAATGATCAATCATAGTTTTTTTGTCATGTATAACTATTTAATTTGCTTCAAAAATAACTTATAAAAATATAAACAAAAAACAAATAGTTAATCTTGATTATCATTGCTTGAAAATACTAATATCAATTGTTAATCGTTTATCAATTTCTTTTTCCCATTGATAATTCATTTGTTTAAGTCTTGCTTTAATATAATCAACAACAACAATATTATCATATGAAAATGATTTTGGCCACCAACCTTGAAGATAACTAACATGTCCACCTTGTAAAGTTTTTATTGCAATAATATATGAATTTTGTAAAATATCATCATTCGGTAAACCATCAACAGGACATATTGGATCATCAATAGCACTCAAAACAAGTGTTGGTATACGAATATATTTTAACCATTTATTTGGTGAAGCTTCAGTATAATAATGTTCAACATCTCGAAAACCATATATTGGTACAATAACATGTTTATCAAAATCACGTATTGTTTTTGATTGATAAGCATGATTAAGATTAAGATCAAATTTTGAATTCGAATTTGAAAAATGTTCTTCATGTTGTCGTAAATATCGTATAAGATTACTTGTTAAACGACGATTATACATACGTATATTAAACCATTGTTCGAGATTATTTGTACTTAAATGCATATCAAAACTTGCACAACAAACAATAGCACCTTGTAATGAACATTGATTACTTTCTTCACCAAGAAATTTAGTTAGAATACTAGCACCTAATGAATAACCAACAGCAAAAATTGGAGTTTCTTCTCCAACAATAGAACGAATGTATTTTATGGATGCACGTAAATCATTTGTATTTGCAGCACAAAATGATTGTGGTGACGTTAATTTTGATTGACCACATCCACGTGCATGTGCTACAACACAACATAAATCAAGTTTTGAACTAGCAGATAAAATCATCCAACGAACATATCCATCATGAGAACCACCTGTAAGTCCATGTAGAATTAATAAAATAGGTTGACGATAATATGGACGTGTATGCCAATCCATTGCAATTGTTCCACCAGTATTATCAACTGTAAGAAGAATACGTTCAAATGATATTTGTGGTAATGAACGAAGAAGAACACCAAATATTGTCATTAAATGTCCATTGAATATCCAAGGTGTTGGACGATATTCAGAAAATGATGGACATTGATTAATTAGAAATTTATTTTCTTCTGTTGCTTGCATAATAATAGTGGAAGGATATCTTTTTACTATTCTCCATATTAATCTAATAATGACTATAGTGAACGGAATTGAAATAAGGAAAGTTTTAGAATTATCTGTTAGATCCGACCACATCTTACTGAAGAAACTAATTGAAATTCCAAAGATCACATTCTTAGTTGAGATAAACGACGCACGTATGTCATTCACCATCGTATTAAAATTACAACTGACCTCTGCAATAGAAAAGAGGGCGTTGAATATCAATCTATTTCAGACATATGCAGATGTTTAAATTTAGTACATAAGTTATAATATAAGTAGTCAAATCTCAAATCTTGGGAAATAGTCGATTTTCTTAGATAAGACATCATTCTCTAGGTCAATTGCTGATACATTAATAGTTGATACATAATGATAATCATCCTTACTTCTGTATTTTTACTTTTCGAATGAGACTGATAATAATTTCGCACATCTAGTATTCTTTAAAGATTTATTATTTTTTGTTCAATTTCGAGTCCAAAATTGAATGAATTTCTTTCTATGTGTGGTAAACATGCTATACAAACTATTATGATCTATTAAAATACTTAAATAATGTTGAACAATAGCTGTTAAAAACGAAATTCAAACATTTAAATTGATATTGAAACTTTGTTAATACGAATTTCAATTAATTTCGATTATCATTAAAAAGACAACGAATAATTAACACCTGATACATAGATACGGTAAAAGAAAAAATATCTTGTTTTCTTCTCATTTCTTTACCTTTTTTTTTTTTTTGGTATCCTCGATTATATCGAAGCACTAGTAGCACTAACCTCCAAAAATGATGTCGTTTTCCTGTCGAGAAATAGTAAAAATTTGGAAGTAGTATTATGATGATCGTATCTGAAGATCGATTCTACTTATAGCCATCGGTTTTTCTCGTCAGAAACGAGGAAACCTAGCTGCTGGATTTGAATATTGTTTTTGTGTTTCCACTTTCTGGAATTTTTCGGGTAAAACTGA